TGATTTTAGATTTGATACTTGTTTCTGAAATTATTTGATTTACATGTAATAATAAAAATGTTTGTTTTAATAATTAATAACTTTAAATTGTTGTATTAATTTTCGTAAATGTTTCAATTAAAATTAACTTTAAATATTTTCCCTTTCCACTGGACTTCAAAATTGTTGTATAAGTTTGCGTACATGTTTCAATTAAAAGTAACTTTAAATATTCTCCCCTTCCACTGGACTTAAAAATTGTTGTATAAATTTGTGTAAAAGTTTCAATTAAAAGTAACTTTAAATATCCTCCCTTTCCACTGGACTTAAAAAATTGTTGTAGAAATTTGCATAAATGTTTCAATTAATGTAACTTTATATTTTCTCCCTTTCCACTGCACTTAAAAATCATTGTACCAGTAAATGTTTCAATTAAAGTAACTTTAAATATTTTCCCTTTCCACTGGACTTAAAAATTGTTGTATAAATTTGTGTAAAAGTTTCAATTAAAAGTAACTTTAAATATCCTCCCTTTCCACTGGACTTAAAAAATTGTTGTATAAATTTGCGTAAATGTTTCAATTAAAAATAACTTTAGTTTCCCTTTCCACCCATGGACTTAAAAATTATTGTACACATTTGCGTAAATGTTTCAAAAAAAGTAAACTTTAAATATTCTCACTTTCCACTGGACTTAAAAATTGTTGTATAAATTTACATAAATGTTTCAATTAAAGTAACTTTATATTTTCTCCCTTTCCACTGCACTTAAAAATCGTTGTATCAACTCAATTGCGTAAATGGTTCAATTAAAAGTAACTTTAAATATTCTCCCTTTCCATTGGACTTAAAAATTATTGTATAAATTTGCGTAAAAGTTTTAATTAAAAATAACTTTAAATATTTTCCCTTTCCACTGGACTTAAAAATTGTTGTATAAATTTGCGTACATGTTTCAATTAAAAATAACTTTAAATAGTCTCCCTTTCCACGGAACTTAAAATTAGTATATAAATTTGCGTAATATTTTCAATTAAAAATAACTTTAAATATTCTCCCTTTCTAGTGGACTTAAAAATTGTTGTATAAATTTGCATAAATGTTTCAATTAAAAATAACTTTAGTTTCCCTTTCTACCCATGGACTTAAAAATTGTTGTATAAATTTGCGTAAATGTTTCAATTAAAGTAACTTTATATTTTTTCCCTTTCCACTGCACTTAAAAATTGTTGTATAATTTGTGTAAAAGCTTCAATTAAAAGTAACTTTAAATAGTCTCCCTTTCCACTGGACTTAAAAATTATTGTATAAATTTGCATAAAAGTTTCAATTAAAAATAACTTTAATTATTCTCCCTTTCCAGTGGACTTAAAAATTGTAGTATAAATTTGCGTAAATGTTTCAATTAAAAATAACTTTACTTTCCCTTTCCACTGGATTAAAAATTTGATGTATAAATTCAATTGCGTAAATGTTTCAATTAAAAGTAACTTTAAATATTTTCCCTTTCCACTGGACTTAAAAATTATTGTATAAATTTGCGTAAATGTTTCAATTAAAAATAACTTTAAATATTCTCCCTTTCCACTGGACTTAAAATTTGTTGTATAATTTGTGTAAAAGTTTCAATTAAAAGTAACTTTAAATAGTCTCCCTTTCCACTGGACTTAAAAATTATTGTATAAATTTGCGTAAATGTTTCAATTAAAAATAACTTTAAATATTCTCCCTTTCCACTGGACTTAAAATTTGTTGTATAAATTTGTGTAGAAGTTTCAATTAAAAGTAACTTTAAATATTCTCCCTTTCCACTGGACTTAAAAAAATTGCTGTATAAATTCAATTGCGTAAATTGTTCAATTAAAAGTAACTAAAAATATTTTCCCTTTTAAAAATTATTGTATAATTTGTGTAAAAGTTTCAATCAAAAGTAACTTTAAATTGTCTCCTTTCCATTGGACCTAAAAATTATTGTATAAACTTTAAATATTCTCCCTTTCCAGTAGACTTAAAAATTGTATAAATTTGCGTAAATGTTTCAATTAAAATTAACTTTAGTTTCCCTTTCCACCCATGGACTTAAAAATTGTTGTATAAATTTGCGTAAATGTTTAAAAAAATAAACTTTAAATATTCTCCCTTTCCACTGGACTTACAAATTGTTGTATAAATTTGCATAAATGTTTCAATTAAAAATAAATTTAAATATTTTCCCTTTCCACTGGATTTAAAAATTGTTGTATAAATTTGCATAAATGTTTCAATTAAAAGTAACTTTAAATAGTCTCCCTTTCAACTGGACTTAAAAATCGTTGTATCAACTCAATTGCGTAAATGTTTCAAATTAAAGTAACTTTAAATATTCTCCCTTTCCACTGGACTTAAAAATTGTTGTATAAATTTGCATAAATGTTTCAATTAAAAATAAATTTAAATATTTTCCCTTTCCACTGGACTTAAAAATTGTTGTATAAATTTTCATAAAAGTTTCAATTAAAAATAACTTTAAATATTCTCCCTTTCCAGTGGACATAAAATTTTTGTATAAATTTGCGTAAACGTTTCAATTAAAAATAACTTTAAATATTTTCCCTTTCCACTGGACTTAAAAATTGTTGTATAAATTTGCGTAAATGTTTCAATTAAAAATATCTTTAAATATTTTCCCTTTCCACTGGACTTAAAAATTGCTGTATAAATTCAATTGCGTAAATGGTTCAATTAAAAGTAACTTTAAATATTTTCCCTTTCCACTGGACTTAAAAATTGTATAATTTGTGTAAAAGTTTCAATTAAAAGTAACTTTAAATAGTCTCACTGGACTTAAAAATTATTGTATAAATTTGCATAAAAATTAATTAAAAATAACTTTAAATAGTCTCCCTTTCCACTGGACTTTTGTATAAATTTGCGTAAAAGTTTCAATTAAAAATTACTTTAAATATTCTCCCTTTCCAGTTGACATAAAAATTGTTCAGTTAAAAATAACTTTAAATAGTCTCCCTTTCCACTGGACTTAAAAAAGTTTCAATTAAAAGTAACTTTAAATATTCTCCCTTTCCACTGGACTTATAAATTGTAATTGTATTAATTTCCATAAATGTTTTCCCATTCTATAGCTTATTGCTCTAATTTCTTGTTCTTTCAGAATGTGGCAACTGATTTGGCAGTTAAAGCTTTCTATTTCAAATCAATATTCTCCAATTTAGTATTGTTTTGGAAACTCAATAAATTCAATATTTTGAATAAATATTAATTATTGTACAGTAATTGAGTATTGGAGTATTTTGAATAAATAAATATTCATTGTATTCAGTTTAGTATTGAGTATTTTCTTCTTCTCGAGCATTGAAAAAGCAGGATGGCAAAAAAAAAAAAAGCGCCCTCGAATAGAAAAAGGCCCTAAATATGACTAAGTTATTTGGCCACAATAATCTGTCCGGTTCTGATAAAAATAGTGAAGAAAATCGCTCTAAATAGCCATTTTAATTCAAAGTTTTTTAGGGTCTCTTAACTGTCAATGGCAGTAAGCGCCCTCTAACATCCCAGTTTTTCAGAATACTGTAGCATAAAAACTGGCTATTAGAGGGCACTACCACTTTATTAATTAAATTAATGACAAATAAGAGACCACCGAAAAACGTTGAACTAAAATGGCTAAAGAGGGCGGTTTTCAGCACCACACAGGACCCCTTTAAATAATTTTAGAAACCCTGGAAATTTTGGCTTTCTATTGAAGAGCGCTCTTCAGCACCACTTTTTAATAGAAATTGAGGGACATGGAAAAAATTAGCCTTTTTCTATTGGAGGGCGCTTTTTTCATCTTACCTGCATCCATCAGTCAAGCCATCAGTCTTTAAACTCGAACAGCAAAGAAACATCAAAACACTATTTTTTTTAATTATCTTCATAACCAAAATCGCATAATGAAAATTATTAGGCATCAACAATTCATAATATGGAAAGTTAAAATGCAAGTTATAGTAGTTTTCTGGTTCTCTTAGTAATTAGTCAGTTCATATCTTCTGTACAATATAATCAGTTTTTCAGATTGAAGCAGTTGTCTTGATGCTGCAACAACTTACCTGCATCCACCAGTCTTCAAACTTGAACAGCAAAGAAAAGACAACACACTACTTATATTTTTTATTATCTTCATAACCAAAATCACATAATTTAAATTATTAGGCATAAGCAATTCATTATATAGAAAGTTGAAATGCTCTGCTAGTAGTAGTAGTAGTAGTAGTTTTTCTGATTGTAATTAGCCAGTTTATATCTTCTGTACAATATACTCAGTTTTTTTTTTTTCAGAATTAAGCAATTGTTGTCTTGATGCTGCAACAAATAATACAACCGCTTTCACCGGGATTACGACATCACAATATTCAGCAAGATATTAGCAAAACTTCTGTATTGTATTAGGCATGACAAATTAAATTAACTAATTTAAATTAAATTGCCTATATTAACAACATTAATTATAATAGGTTTCTCTTCTTTGTCTTCCTCTGCAGCAGTACTTTTCCTGTCTTGCAACTGTGTTGCTGCATCCACCAAAAATAGATTCTAAAAAAAAAATTAGACACAAACACGAATTTAACAAAATTAAAGTAATAATATAGTTAATAATTTCATAAAGCTTCAGTATATTTCAC